GTAAGGGCGGGCTCTTAGGGCAGGTGTGTCCCTGTTTCTGAGGACTGGGACGTCCGTGACATTCCACCAAATTCACAATGATGCTGTGGACAATCAGCAACTGGGCTGGAGGAGTGGCGGACTGCAGGACCTCGCTGCGGTTACCTTTTACCTGTCCCAGGTCTGACAAAGACCTCGAAAAGGATTGGTTCCATACTCAGCACCGCGCTGGACCCCTCCCATACGCTTTTCTTCTGTTTTGGTGTCTCCCAAGGACAGTGACAACACTTCCAAACCGCCTGGGCCCCAGGAATCGGTGTACTGCCGTCATACTTGCGTGCGGACGAGAGCATGTGTATATATAGTAACACGAGCTCGCCTTGCCGTACATCATGACCCTTCAACATACATCATGTGCCAAGGCTGCCGAGGTTTGAGCTACATTGTAATTGTACATCCTAATAGCAATGGCCTCCAAGTTAATAGCGATATGGCCTCCAACCTAGAAGCGATGGCGTCCAACGCAATCTGCAGAAGAACAATATTAATGCAGATCCACTTTTTGGTATCGACTAGCTTGGCGTGGAGGATGCTCCGGTATTTGCCCCGAACCAGATTGCCAAACTCTGTCCCGCAAGCAACGTGCTACAGCTGGCAACCTTTCCAGTCTTGAGTAGCGCAGAGACACACATCGTTCGGAATAAGCTGGAAAAGATAGGGGTGTGTGCCTTTGTGTCAACAGGTTGGCATATGAATTGGAGGTGTTTTGGGCGATGCCATATTCCATGCAGAGGTTGGCATCGCCCTCCTCAGGTGAGACATCGCCCTCCTTTGAGCTTCCGGAGCCCAGTTGCCAGAGATCCCAGACATGTGGGCCGCGTATTGCATGAGGCCGAGGAGTGAAGGCCTTTCTGTGGCACTCGGCAGGAACCTAGATACACCTGGACCTAGTAACTTAGTAGGGACCCAAATGCAGATCACCCGCTGAACCACCTCTTGGTACGTGAAATTTGGTTGCTATGACATAGATGGTTTAGGGAGAGTGTGGTTCCATGATGAGGTTTATCAGTCTATTGTCCTCTAGTCTTATGTTCGCCGCGACAGCCATAGATACAAGGAGCCAAAGTATTTTTATAAATAAAGCAAAACAAATTAAAACAAAAGCAAACGTAAAGTAAACAGAAAAGCAAGAACATGTAGCTTTGTGTGTGTGTGTTGCTTTTTCAACTTAATATTTCTGACGGGTAAACGTTCTCATAAGTGAAGACGTGGTACCAGGAAAAAACAAAAAAAAACAAAACAAATGCAACAACAAAGCAAAGCAATGCAACAACAAAGCAAATTGCTTGGCTTTTGCATTTTCATTTGCTTTTGTTTTGCATTTTTCACCTTTAACATTTTGATGGTTGGTCATGTATGGCTGCCATTGCTTAACATAACTCCAGTCGAGTCTTTTTCAATGGGGGGCGAACATGACAAGCAGACAGGGAGTTCATGGATTGGTGCCAAGGTTCCTCGAATGGGACGAAGCAAGCCTGGGTTGCCTGAGTCTGTGACCCAAGCTTCCACAACAAGCTAGAAACCAATACTGTAGCAATGGCCTCCAACCTACAAGCGATAGCCTCCAATCTACTAACTAGCTAGAAACATTCGAGTGAAGTTGTTGAAGCTTTGTGAAATCAAGCCTTTGTATCTTTGTGCCCCCGAACTTAGGCAGACACGAAGCGCACCTGAGTGGAGCTGCAGTGAACAGCGCTTCAACAGCATAAGCACCATGTGTTTCTACACACAATTGAGAGCACAAACAACTCTATTTTCATTTTGTAGACGCCGCCATCAAACAAGAATCATGATGAATGAATGTTTGTTTCACGTTAATTAGGGTTTCATCATCATCATCAACATCATCATCATCATCGTCATAATCATCGTCATAATCATCGTCATCATCACCATCACCGTCACCGTCACCGTCACCAGCATCAGCATCAGCATCAGCATCAGCATCATCATCATCATCATCATCATCATCATCATCATCATCATCATCA